CAGCAAGAGCTTCTGCTGGGTTAGCACTGAAAAGACATTCGAGCAGCCGCGGTGCTCCTTCTGCTGCTGCTGCTGCTGCTGCTGTTGCTGCTGCTGTTTCTGCTGCTGTTTCACCTGAAGCAGCAGCAGCAGCAGCAGCAACTGCAGCAGCAGCAGCAGCAGCAGCACCTTCTTCACTATCATCACCACCAATCACTCCTGCTGCAGCCATCAGCGGCAGCAAACAATCACCATACCCACCATCACTCTCCTCTAGGGGGCCCCCCTCTCCCCTGGGGGCCCCTGTACCCTCAAGGGGGCCCCCCCCCTCCCCCTGGGGGCCCCCCCTAACCAGGGATATAGACAGGTGTCTACCACTAGTACCCTGGGGGGCCCCCGGGGGGGCCCCCGGGGGGCCCCCCGGGGGGCCCCCCAGGCCCCCGGGGGGGGGCCCCATGCTTTCTATGCTTTCTGTGCTTTCTATCTGCATAGCAGCATCGTCAGCATGCTGGGGGGCCCCCTCTGAGGGGGGGCCCCGAGGGGGGCCCCCAAGGATACCCACAGGGGCCCCCGTTGCTGGGTCTTGCGGCGGTGCAGGTGTGACTGCTGCTGCTGCTGCTGCTGCTGCTGCTGCTGTTGCTGCTGCTGCTGCTGCTGTTGTTTCTTTTTCTACTGTTGCTGCTGCAGTTTGCTCCATTTGGTTGGGAGAAAGAGGAAAACGCTGGAGGGTTTCAATAGGGCATCGGCAACGAACCCTAAACCCTAAACCCTAAACCCTAAACCCTAAACCCTAAACCCTCGTCTCGTTAGGTATCAGCAGGCCGCTTACAGAAGCAAAGAAAAGAGAAAATAGAAAAAAGAAAATAAACAAAAATAAATAAATTATATTTGTGTTGATGCTGCAACAAAAAGCAGCAGAAGGAAAGGCCCTTGGGGGCCCCCGAGGGCCCCTGCAGCTAGACAGCTAAACCCTAAACCCTAAACCCTAAACCCTAAACCCTAGATCTTGAACTATAAACTTTAAACCCTAAACCCTAAACCCTAAACATAAAATATTTTATTTTTGTTTGTGTATTTCTTAGGCTTGCGTGGGTGTGGTTGCTGCTATAGAAGCAGCGGGGTGTATGTACACCTCAGCATAGCATGCTAGCTAGCAGCAACAAACAAATAAATAAATAAATAAATAAAATAAATTATACTTTTTCAGTTTCTGCTGCTGTTTATCTCCTTAGTTAGACGGTTGCTGCTGCTGCAGCACCCTGTACACCTGACTAGCTGCAGCAGCAGCAGCAGCTGTTCTCTGTTTTGTTTTTTTTGTTGTTTTCTTGTTTTTTTGTTTTTTTTGTTTATATAAAAACAGAAATAACCTCAATAAGGCCAGCAGTAGAAGTGGTAACAGCAGCACGAGTAGCATAGCAGCACCAGCAGCAGCAGCAACAGCAGCAGCAGCAGCAGCAGCAGCAGCAGCAGCAGCAGAAGCATAGCAGCAACAGCAGCAGCAGCAGCAGCAGCAGCAGAACGATAGCAGCAACAGCAGCAGCAGCAGCGTAGCAGCAGAAGCAGCATGGCAACAGCAGCAGCAACATAGCAATAGCTACAGGATCAGCAGCAGAATAGCAACAGCAGCAGCAGCAGCCTAGCAGCAGCAGCCTAGCAGCAGCAGCAGCAGCATAGAAGCAGCAGCAGCAAATGCATATCTTCCTGAGGGTTGAGGTGTATGTACAGCTAGGAGGATGCATGCAGTTTATACGTTGTCTTTTATTTTATTTTTCTTTTTTTTTGTTTTTGTTTGTCTCCTTTTTTTCTCTTTTTTGTTTTTATTTGTCTCCTTCTCACCCTAATAAAGAAACGATTTAAAAAGACAGAC